GTCTCGGGTGTAGGTTTCATTGCTTGGGAGATCGGTAATTCCACACGAGGTAAATATGTAAATATGTGTACTGAACTTGACATTTACGCACTGATGGATTATCTATTCAGTAAAATGGGAGAAGGTAAACCTTTGCAAGAGTTATTCTTCAGAATCAACACAGCAAGATTATGTAATGGTTGATGACACAACTGTCTCTCAATTGCTAACATTTCTATGTATACATATATGAAGGTAACTTGCTGGCAATTAAGTCTCAGTTAGCTGCAACTCATAGCGGAATCACTGAATGAGACCGCGGAATTTAGGTAGTGCAATGTATACAATCGATTTGAGAATATATCTTTTGTGCTCTTTTGCTACTTTTCACTTTCTTCTTCAATGAATCTAACAATACAGCCAGCATGTGGTCTAGCAAACGCGGTTGACCGCCACCAATCATGCGCTGCCTAGGGACGTACAAAAGCAAAACGTTTAGCGACCGATGGTGGAATTCGAAGCCACAAACTCTCTGTCCTTGTAGTGATTGCCCTCATCGCTTGACCACTGTCATTCGAAATCAACGGATACAGGATGACCATGCGATAAGAAGTTGTGCGTTTTAGAGAGTCTTTCTGCATGATAGCAGTCACGCATAGGTGCCTTCCAAGGTCTCAGATCAAACATCCTAAAATGCATTTCAGAAAGATGAATATTTCACAACTGAGCGCGTTTCACAGTGCGAAGGTCACTAAATGAATCAGATAGAATAGAATGGAACACTAAAAGTATCTGAAATCGAAATTCAGGTGATCGAGTTTCCTTTTATGAGTTTCACATTTCTGATCGCCAACATCCAATGATGAATCACCGAAGCGCAATACAAAACTTATCATAATGATGCACTGAGTTTGATCGACTGAAGCAGATTGACCCGTAATATGACAACCATTGTATGTATGCCTGCCTGAAAGTGTTCGGTAACATGGTTTTACATTTGGAATTTCACAGAAACAAAATCATCTACTTAAATTCAATTTTTCAAAGTTGATTAAGGTTAAACCTAAATCATCATGTAGGCAAACATACTTTTTGGTGAATTCCTTTTCAAGCTTTAACAACCACATTTATATAAAGCAATTTCAATCCACCAAAAACATGTTTGCATACATTGTGCCTTCTTAATCGATTAGCATATTTCGTGATTTCAAAACTGCCTCTGCGAGTACGAATACCTATAAACCCTCAACCACTGTGCTCGAAAGAAGCGTGCCACAGTACCAACTGTCAGTTCAATGTTTGAATGAAAATCACAGGAATCTGTTTTTGGAATACGCGAAAATCAGTGTTCCTCACAGATCGCACAAGAAAATGTCATCACTGGATCGTACACTGAGCCCTCTTACAACACAAGGGCATTTCCCAAGCCATTCTGAACGGTACATGCATAATTTTTTCAGTATTCAATTGATCCATGTTCTGATTGGAGCACTATCACTTAGGTCCAAATTTTTTCACTCTCGTCGTAAGAAATGTCAGGGTGATTTAGAAGCGCCATTTGAAAACTTGGTCGGGCAAACAAGTGAGCTCATACCAAGTTCTTGGGAAGATCTAACACATTTCAAATCACCACTGACTACAGCTTACCATCAATACCGACGTTACCAAATTTGTAACAAAGAACCTCTGACGCAAAAACACAATGAAGCCCAAAAAGACCTAAAACCGTAACCCTGAAATCCTCTTAAGCAAACCTGGCAAAGAAACTGGCATTGTGGTTATGGATCGTGCCGATTACGTATCCAAAATGCCACTGTTTCTATGCGATCAAACAAGATTCACTTAAGGTAAGGCTGAAAAGCAAATTAGCTATATACTAAAACGGCTCAGACACCAAGGCTAGATATCATCCTGTCTGTTTGAAGAGCTCAAACCCGTTGGCTCTACCGTGCCTCGCCTATATGGTCTGCCCAAAATACACAAACCTGGTATACCAGTGCATCTCATCATCTTTATGACAAATTCATCTTAGCACGCAACTGCCTATTGGCTAGCAAAACTTTTGGAGCTCATACGTCAACATGTCGTTAAGCATACACTTCGAGATACTTTTCAGTTTGTAGAAATAACCAAAAATGTGAACATTAACAACCGACTGATGTTCTCTTTGGAGGTTGTTGCTCTCTTTAAAGTGTTCCTCTGTTAGAAACAGTTGATTTCACTTGTGAATTTATCAACACAGAAACGATATCCGTGTGTACTCTAGTTGCAACTCTCAAAGAACTCATACTCAAATGCACACGAAATGTATAATTTTTGTTTAATAAAACATTCTACCATCAAGTCGATGATGTTGCTATGGGTTCGCCCCTCGGACCTGTTCTCACCAACATCTTCGTGGCCAAGTTAGAGACAACTGCCTTATCTACATTTATTAGTTGTTCTGTCATGTGGATGATATCCTTTTCGTGGCTAACAAGAACACCTATCTTGCCCATATTGAGTCAAAATTCAACACAGCACATTCGTCAATAAAGTTCACAGCCGAATCAGAGGAGAATGATTGCCTTCCGGTTTTGGATGTTCAACGGACTAGATGCCCCGGTGGCTTTATCCAAAGAAATATATATCGGAAAGTAACATAGAGTGGACAGTATACTAACTTTCATAGCTTCGTCCCACCATATCAAAAGCCGAACTTCCCACGCTGTCTCCTGCAGAGAAACAAGGCACATCTACCCAGAGGATACTTTAGGATACTATAATCTTCATAAAAAAATAAAAGTCCAAGATTTTCTCGCGGAAATGATACTGCTAGGTTGCTTACATCAAAGAAGGTAGATTTTCTGGTGGAATTCACTGTCAGAGCTTTCGGCTAGCCAAAGCCCGACCCCCAAGGCGCGGGCGGTGTGTGGGAACCGCAATCCATTGTGGGGCCAGTGTCTAGTTCATTGGAACACACGGCCATTGGACGAGCTCTAAAATCCAAGGTGCCAGACACACCTCGATGTCCGGTTGAGCCGACGATAACTACCACGACAAAGAAGCTGTGTGGTTCGTATACTTCTTCTAGGTGGGTTTGGAATCATGGATTTTAGCCAACTCTCCTAGGTAAACTTCCAGTGGATTCACCGACTCGGTTATAACCCCGGATATTGGCTTTTCGTCCTCTCCCTTTAGTGAGAAAACACCTCCGCCATGAGAAGGCAATGAATACAGCCTCTATAGCAGAAGCTAATTGAGACGCTTGGTTTCAAGGAAGCATTTCACGAGGTGAAGCAGAGGGGTGCCTAACCGCAACTTGAGAAACTTAGGCTTTTGGACGCATTTTTATGTTATAAATTCTGGATGTATTTGAATTCAGGATGCATGATGCTCACCGAAATATAAATTCGAATCAAGTTAGACCGTGATACCGGTAGCCTTTGTGTTCTTTATTACTTCCTTTCTATTTTTTTCTATTGATTAAGCAACTTTCACGAAGGGAGCCGCTGTCCTAGATAGGCTGTCTGAGAAAATATAGAGATACAGAATACGGGCAGTGGTGGAGCGATTCGAACCTGGGATTTCTGGGTCACAATGGGGTGATATAACCACTCGGCCACCACCGACCTGATGTTGCCTTCGCTTTTTTATGTCAAATTTGGCTTCCTTTGTCAAATAACGTGAGCAGAAGAGAGCGTTACAAAGACTAAAGTAAATATGCTTCCATTATTCAAAACTAGCACAAATGTTTTGAGAGATTTAAAGCTGACACATGAACATCAACAGATCCGTACGCTGTGCGCGAACAACTGAGATTCTTAAACAAAACTATTTGCTGGATCCCCAAGAACAGTGGGCAGATTATATTCTGAAGAAGACGAACACAGTTATTACCAATTTGTACTTTGATTGCCGTAAGTTGATACGAAATACAAGATCCAGAATGACACTATATAACCGTGATCATTTCAAACGAGAATGTTGCTTTTGATCTTAGTAGTTTTCATTTAAAGGTTCAGCTATATGCGCTTCACCAAGCAAAACGAAATCTGTAGATTGGGGCTGATCATCTGTGAGAATTTCTTAATTTATCGATTGTATTTTGTTCTTTTTTACCCCTCATCATGGAATACGGGGCTGGACAAACTGTTTTTACAAAGCGGAAAGCAGTCAGACAAATGGATACCAAGTTTAACATTAGTAGTAAAAATGTTCTAGATTAATTACAAACACTAGTTTGGGTTTTTGAGGAGACTCATTTTGGAAAGCGTGTTGAATTTTGGGTAGGAATAAAACGTTCAAATTGTTGAAGTGTATGATGAGACGGAATGAATAGGGCAATCATGTTTCCAATGTGCCACGAAAACCAATTAAATTGATGATGAGTTTTTCGTGCGAGAGGCAAGTTCAGTCCGAACGTAGTTAAAACTTCTGAGGAAAATCCTAAAACACATGAATACATGTCGCCTGGGGAATAAATGAAAAAGTATAAGTGATGAATGGCATGCGTTCTGATGTTAAAGCAAGAAAAAGCCGAACAATTTAAAATTATATCACCCCGTTTGAAGTTTCAACATGGATGCGCAATTTCTTCATCGATAATTTCTTAATACTGAGAGACACGGATACATCACCAACGAAGAGAAATTAAATTGGCATTAAAAAAGAAATTTACTGATCGTGAACAAGTCCAAGTGAATTCTTTCATTCCGATTAAAGCCAGTTCAACAGGTTTTACGTGTCGGTCAGCACGATGATTATGGAATGTCTCAGCAACAATCATTTGTATTCTTCACGCTAAACATGAGTTCCATCACCTAAGAGACGTACACGTAATTCTAACCAATCACGTTCGACTACATATCTATAGCATGTAACCCACAAAAATTCGTGCTCAATTTCCCCTCACGGACCAATAGGATTCACATGTTCCGTTGCCCGTGTTATTTAAGCAGCCCCTTCGTCACTATAGCGCGACAATTTCGTAAACCCTCTCGATTCTGTATTATTTCGTTAGGGATTGTCACGACTACACCATGGCATATTCTTTGCATTCAAGTTTATACAGTATGGTTTTCTGTGTCATGCTGGTCAGCCAGTTGGCTACCAGTTACTACGTGTGGCCTGTTTTCTATGAGAAGCGATTTATCTCTACCGGCGGTTCACCGGACTCTCCTCCGTCTCTGTTCCGTCCGGTCGTATATATGAACCCGCAACCGAAATCCAATCCACAGGACGACGAACCAACTGGTGTACCGAATTTGATGCGTTACGGTTAACCACGATTGCTCTGTCTGTCTACACATACAAACACACAACAGCCTGTTCAACGGCGTCAGTGACAAGCAGATTTTTAATTTACATCCCAAAATTAAAGCTCATCGAAGACACAAACTGTGTATGTGCTTTGACACTGGATTCAACCGTGAGCCATGTATAACTGAGCTGTCGTATCAGTGTTATATGTACGTGTGTGTGTGTGTGTGACAGTGAGCTGCGGATGATTTCACTTTCATTCATCACTTGATTTATGTTCAACGTTTTGCAAAATACACACAGATGGAGAACTTCTTTCGAATTATTCATCTAGATTTGTCTTCGGGTTTGCTCTGGCCCCATATGTATATGCATTTTAACATATATATTGAATGACAGACAGTGCAAAGTGAAATTTGATTAGAGGCACAACATCCTGTCAACAGTCAACTTTATTGACTGTGTTTCCGCAATTCAAGGCCAAGTTGGGATAGAAGGCGGTCTCGGTGGGTTCGATATTGCATACATAGATGCAAGGACGGTATGATGGTCCCTTTGACAGGGGAAGATAGAAATTACTGGGGACATTTACACCATCCACAGTATGGCTATCTGATTGACTTGGCTAATCTGTTCCAGACTATGTTTACTGCACGTTCTCTATCACCCAGCTTTTTGGAACATGGTACACAGTTGTAAAAATAACTACGCATGATTATTCACTTTGAAATCTCTAAAAAATATATTTTTTAATGTACTCAATAATATACACTAGTCACGCTATTTAAATGAACTCAATTAGCGCTTCATTGAAAACATTATTTACAAAAATTGAAGGGAATTCACACGTAATATTTAAATGTTTAGAATTTGACAAGCCTAATACAGAGCATCCCCTGCAACGCATCCGATGTTTGGATTCTGATGTTAACCAAGGGGACTTAATTTGTCTAAGGAGGATTCTGAGGGTTGATACGGAATCAGAACTGCAGAATCACTTCACTCTAGCAACAAAGCGGGGGCACTCAACAAAAGAAAGATTCAGTCGAGTGGTCTGCTGTTGGTCAACGGTTTTCAAGAAGACCTGCGATCCTCTCGAAATCCCAGAGACGGTGGTAAAGGAGGTGACTGACGCTGCTTTCAAGCTGTGTTTGAATAAGCACCTGCAAGGATTGTAGAGTAACGACCACATGTGATCGGCTATTTGACCCTGCGGTGATGGGGCTTACACGGGCATCCGGCCCTCTACCCTCGGAACTAAAGACTGACTGAAACTGAAGTGTCATACAATGTTTCTTACATATGTGAACTAAGCTTTAAACTAGAAATTTTTGAGTTAGGCGAAAATGTGTTTTCTACTTCGGTTTGAATCCTGATGAATCAAATCGATATTCGATAACATGATGACTCACAACTACAATAAAACAGTGAAACTTGGATTCTCAAGACCCTCAGTGGGGGAAGTAGGGTAGACATTGACGGTAGATGAACCACTGTCCAGTTATGAGGCATTGCTAAATAAAAGTTAGCTTCCTTACGGGACCAAGTGCGCTATGCACCACAGGGCTTCGTAGTCTAATAACGATGTCCTACCCCTCGGGCCTTGAGAATATTTAATTTTATCTGTGGACTGATGGATGTGGTTTATAGGAAAAATCGAACGCATATGATATTTTCTGGTTTTGAAGTCAGTTGTATAGTTCCTATTCCAAACTTCGATTTGTGCAACGTACAACGTATACTTTTTACGTGTGACAGACATCAGTACTTGACCATCAGCCTGAGATGGAATGTTTGTTACAAGATAACGAGTCTCCCTGACACTATCCTTGTATACTAGCTGGTCTGTTAGTTGTGTATCGATTAGAACTTATCACTCAAATTAAAAAAGCACTCAAATGGCGCAAATCAAATGTAAAATTCAGCGGATTGATCTCAGCCTCGCAAAGTATCACAACAAATAAAACTTATCACCCTTCTAAAGCAAACTTTTGAGGTGTCTATGGTTGGAAAAGTTTGATTTTGATTTGATTTTAGTTTAGATTCGTTTATAGAAAAAATCTTACATGCTCACTGGTGGACGTCATATACTTCTGCAAGTTGGATGGGTAATTAGAATGTGAAAAGATCAGTGCTCCTGGTATGGCCTCGTAGCTCATCTAGTAGATCGTGCACTGTACAAAAGCGTAGGTTGCGTTCATGCGTGGGTTCGAATCCCGCAGGTGAATCTCACGTTCACCGATTGGGAACTGAATTCGCAGATGGTGTAAAATGTGTTTATTCAGAACTGAATTCAGCATCATCTATAAAACAGAAAAAAATGCCAAAACTGATGAGTTTGGAAGCAATCTGTTATTTTTTATTAATTATCTATGCTGTTTGCATGACATCATTGAGCTGAGTTGGTGTAGACAGTGATAACGCACACTCCATTGATGCGATATATCCGGAGTTCAAACTCGGACAGGACTGTGGATTTGAACTACAGATGAACCTTAATAAGAGCGAAACTCGAGTTAAGTGCTTCCGAGGATATGGTTGATTAGAAGAACTAAGTATTTTGTGTGAAGAAGAAGTCTCAAAGATGATCAGTTTAGATCAAATAATAAATGGTTTAGATGGCTGATTTTACTGTGTGCCGAGGCGGGGGCGGTATCATTATGCGAGTTCAAACCCCGACGGAGTTGCCGACATTTCAATATATATAGAGAGAGCTTAAGTATCTTAAATGTGATCATATTACCATTTGCATTTGATAACATAATAATTTTATTCAAGAAAACAATCATAGATATCTGCAGCACCAGTTTGTCATGGTACTTCAGCGGAATCCGACCAATTGCAATCAAGTAACCCAAAAACCAGAGAAATATGGTTAACTGAACCGAAATCAAATAAGTCTTTCAATCGGTTCCAAATTGTAGGCGAATTCATCCGATAAATTCTCTTCGGGTACAAAACAGAGTTTGTATTTCAGTGAAATTAGGAAACCAGAGCTAAACTAGATAAAATGTACACAACTGCCCATACTTGTTCAAGTAAATAGAGTTTTTGTACAAAGGAATCTAGTGTGAGGGGGAATTTTCAAAATGCCAGAAAAATCAATACAAATGTATTTGGTCAGTAACAATTTACCGAAATCGATTGCATGTCTTCTCTTTTCGGCTAATTAACAGAGGGTAGTTATTGTTAGAAAAAATACACATTTGCCCCAATAGATCATTCGTGTTTTATTATTCATTAGACGAAAAAGGTTGAAGGTTGTTTGATTTAAAGGACTTTGAATTCCAGGTTATAAATGTTTTGGTTGTATAGGCTACTTTTATACCAGCTTCACTAGGTTGAATTTATCTTTCTTCAGATGTTCAAATAGTTGTTTGGCAGCTTTGAAGTTTGTACGTCGATTGTGAAAAGTTCAGTAGCCTCGGTGGGATTCGAACCCACGCATGAACACCGCCTACGCTTTGTACGCGCATGCTCTACCAGCTGAGCTACGAGGCCACACCGATAGCACTGAGGGTAAAATTCACGTGATCACATTAGTCTCATTTATGAACAGTTAACTAATATGTAATTAGCGAAAATCACAACTATTTTTTCCTCCTAATTTTCCCCCCGAGGGATTCGAGATAGTAAAAGGCACATCTCAGTCAGACTGTTCCCCCTGAAGTCNAAGTCGAGGTGAGTCAACGAAGAAAATGAACAAAATATTTCCATTCTGTCGAAATTGGTTCCGCAGTGAGAAATTACTAAGCAAACGTTTGAACCAATTCCATCGCCACAGTTTCCTGGTTTCTGTGTGTGCATGTGTTTCTAATCGGCCACAAATGTGTACTTTTAAATAAAACATCGCTATATAAATAGGAAGTGGACTGCCGAAAGTTCTGTCACATACCAAATCCGTTTATCCGGTGAAATAATTCTGTGGTACGGCTTTATACATTTCGGACAACAGAACCGCTCTCCTAGAAACCAATAAATTTTCGAATAAAAGTAAAAAGAAAGGGAGAACGCTCTAGAAAGGAGGAAGTGGCAGTCATGACGCTAGTTTGATCGGTTGGATACCTCTTTTTATGAACGGATGGGTGAGAAGGTGAGAAAACAGAAAAGCGGTAGGTTTTTTCTATGCTCACTAGACCTCATCGAGAATCAACGATGATCACCAGAAACAGCCAACATGATGATAATACCAGTAACAAACCAGTATTTCGAACTCTGACGATAAAGACAGCTGCTGCTTCGTGTCCGGCTCAGTGACGTTGTCCATATCACTCAATACCATCATTCTGACATTGTGCGATCATGTTACCCATTGAAGGAAAAAAGATAACAGGTCACCAGTAAAACAACCTATAGAAAGCATTCTCACAGTGATATTAAATTAGAATACTAGAATTTCAGGCAGGATGATCAAAAAATAGAAATGTCTGAGAAACCTGTCAACTTACTTTTGCACGTATAGAATAAAATTCGAAATACGTCATTTATATATACACATGCAAATTGCATATGCCTGTTAGGTTGCAGAAGACTGATAGCAGTCCCGACCAAACGAGCATTCAAACTTCCTTTGATGATGTACCTCTAATTGAGAGTCCATGTGTGCAAACATCTGTGGATGGCAAAAAGTAAAAACACTAACTTTAACTTTGTCTGCGGGAGACTCATGATGATTTAGCGTTTCACATCTGAGTAAAAAATTACATTCAGAAATGAGATAGCTACAGTGTTCTAGCGGTTGAGGCGCTCAAAATAATGATTTGGATGTCTTGAGGTCGTGTTGTGATGGAAGAAGGTACAAAGAGAGTCCTAGCTAGCTACCGAATCAAGAATGGGGCTCATTCGACCAGACGCTACAATACTGCGTCACCGCCGACCGTCTTTCATATTTACATATTCTCCAGGCAGCTTTCGAATGATTACAGTCCTTTTGACTGCAAATTTGTATACTCCAAAAAGGAGGTGAAAACATTTGTCGATTTTTACATCTGGAAACAGCAAAAATCACATTGAGCCTGAGCTTTTTAAAAGTCTGGTCGTTCTGAAGTTCTTTCAAGGTTTCCGGTAGCTTTTCACATATTGCTATTAAAGAACTACTCTCGGACGCTCGGCATGTTTCATGACTTTGAGCTCGGGACTATACAGGAAGTTCCCCGATTTGAGCCCCTATAGTATTTCTCAAGGTTACAAACTACCATCCTTCCTAGTTTCTAATGGAAAAAGTCTGAGCTGACTAAGGCGTCGTTTGTTAAACTCCTCCTGCAGACCTTCAACCCTCGTTGATGCTAGTCGTTGCACATCTTCTTGCAATTCTGAATTCAGTAGGCCAGATAAGGCTTTATGATGGCCTTGCTAATAGTAATGCATGCCTTTGCTATTCCAGTATGAAAGCGCAGTTGAGTTACGCTGCTTAGTCAAATGGGGTATTTCAACGAGATTCTGAAGTCACCCACATATCAAACCCTTAGTAATTTAATCAATACCCGATCAGAAGTGTCCCCTAATTTCTTTCAGCTTTCAGGAATTGAGCGTTAGATCTCATGTATGGGATCAATTTACCCTATGCTTAATGTCACATAATAGATATTTCTTCCACTAGAACTCACCACTTTGGAAGCATCAACAAAAATGGAGTATGGTGAGCTGATTATTTGTGTGAGAGCATTTGTGAAGTCAATTTAGGAAAATACTGTTAATATTGTAAGGTTCTCCTAGCTGGAAATCATGTTTGTAAACGTATCACGCAATATCATCAGCGCGACTTCAGGGAAGGAAATGTTTGCGAACAACGCACCCAAACCGGAGAACCCTTTCAACACCAACATCACTTCGAGTTAGAAAACTTCAAAAAATACATCTTTTATGTCCAACTTTGATATCAAAAGAATGCAATTCAATGAAAAATAAGCAATTAGATGGATTGTGATAACAGAGTAATCGGTCAAATTTTAAGGCGTTTCAGGTGTCATGATTAACTAATACATTCATCAGGTTGTATGTTCGAACGCCATCAACACTGCCACTTAACCTTTCCCTTTATCATTGTATCAAATAGTAGATCTTTGGTCACCCAGTTCTCACCTAAAAACATTTGGTGCAATTATTTATTCCAGAAAAATAAGAGGACAAAGAAGGAAGACATATTCTCCCCATCCAGACAGTGTTTTAACGACCGCGGTTTCCCTCAAGGTCAAATAAACTGCATCACAGTATATTCCGCAAAAAAGGTAGCAAAATATCAATCTTACAATTGCTAATAAGGATGCATAATTTTCAATTATGCAAGGCAGTTCATGGAAGCTAACTTTTTGTCGTCACGCACTCTAATGTGCAGCCCTAGTGCACGGGAGTTGAAAGTAGAGCGATTCAAAACAAAATGAAGGCTGAACACAACACATTTGGAATTGGTCAGTTTGAGGATGATAGCGATGATGAAGATGATGATGATGATGATGATGATGATTCGGATGATGATGATGATGATGATGATTCGGATGATGACGATGATGATGATCATAACTTTGTGTCAGTTCATCAAATACAATTAAGGTCACTACAGACTTTATACACGCAACAGAGCGAATTTTCGGTGCTCTTGAGGAGATGCAGCAGAGAAAAATGTGGGATTATGAGGTGACAAAACAATTGCATACAATGGGAAGAAAGCGACAATGACGTGATTAGGAATTTAATAAGTTCACAATCATCGATGAACGATTCGATAAGCTGCAGACAGGAAAAGAGATTATGCTCTCTCTCGGCAAGTGTCTAGCATGTACAAGAAGAAGCCCCTGGCTACGGGGATGAGAGACGTATTTATTGAGGTGGGGACGCAGGCTGTGTATCACATTTTACAGTGGATGCATGATGGACGGATGGATCACGTGCATCAAAGGGCTTGTACAGAATAAAATCGCCGAAAACAGTTTTCGGAATACCACTGCTCCAAAGAGGAAGAAATTTGGTGGATTTGAAAATGAGTATAATTTCTTGCTCTTATTAACAGGTAAACAATCGAGAGGAAAAGTACATTCAGTGTTGAGAAATACAAGCGGGCACAGATTTAAAGATTGCATTTGGCGCAAGGGCAAGTGCTTTAAGTTAAAAAACCTAGAGTAACAGTCTTCGAACCCTAAGGTAATGGTCTTCAAAAAGATGTGAATTAAAAGCGTTTATCTGACAAGTTGACCGTGAAGCACATTACTGAGTCAACCCTGGAAACGGTATCATTTGTAACAGCCGATTTGGCAGATTACCCAAAAAGGTTTTATAAAGGGAACCTGTCTTAAGGCTCAATGGAACAACCACCCATTTATCCATATTAAACATCCAAGATCGGGAGCGCACCAACTAGGAATTTGATTTGGACAGTTTTGGAGTCGGCGGAAAGTGTCAGCACCAGTGAGGCAACACACACAATCACCACTTCATCAATGTGCTTGAGCGCGATGATTTTGGAAAGTATAGGAATAATGAGAATATACAAAAGAAAACCAGTGCAGCTAAAATGCATGAGTGGAGGAAGAACTAAGTTGTACTACTGAAAAATAAAATGCCCCGAAATGAAAATCGACTCAGTTTTGAGAGAGCAAAACGGAGAGAGAGAAAACAAAGAAAGCGATCTTCAATTTTATTCCTGTTCGCTCCGGAATAAAAGCCTTAGTGAGAAGAAGAACTATCAATCTGAAAATCCTTAAATTCGCAGATATCTATAAGTTTCGCACCCACAATGCACGATTTAGAGAGCATGATTGCAGCGACTGCTAAAGAAATAAGTATGGTAAATCGAGAAAGTATTATGCAGCTGATTATGAACGTACATTATTTGATAGAGCTCAGATAAGTCAACTCTTCGGATTATAAAATGCCCTTATAAACTTTAAACTTGACTCAGAGTTTTTGGTGAGTACTCGTGTGGTTTAGGTGATATTGGTTTAGCTTGGCTATTCTTAGGAATTGAAACTCACACACCATAGTCGGTTCATCCAGTCAATCACACACCTTAGAAGCACTATACTCGAGTTTCGCCCTAAACTCAGCTCAAAGGTACTGCACATCTACCGTCGATTTCAGGTTTTGGTTCAATCGGTATGTATGCTATCGTTGTGCCAACTAACTCACCGGAGCTGACTAGGATCTCCAATTCATGGTTATTAAGACTTCCTTGTGAATAATTGTCCGACAACACATTGAGCTCGACGTCAATTTCGGATAACTATCAGATAACTAGTTGGACATTGGCTGCTGACGAGCCCTACCAAGTGAAAATCTCCGGTGTGGTTGACTGGATGATTTGCGAAATATGCACGAAGTTGAAGTTTTAGGGACGATTAGTCAAAATGAACGATACAGGGTTATCATGCTGTCTATTGTCTTTAGTGGGCACCGTTTTGTTGCATAGTAGTGCAGGTAATTAGAATATCAATAATGCCGTTCAAACTGAATAGTTATTCAACCCAAAAGTGCACGGTAGCAAATTGAGATATTCTTTTTCCCCATATTGTCCTCCAGCACTGCACTCCTTATGGATTAGGGGAGAGGATTATCTAACACATCGATGTAAAATTCAGTTTAACTTTTGGGGTTGTACAACGACACAACGACATCAGATGAATACCGAAATCGGGTGTAAAAACTTAAAATGTGTACCGTTGTATTCACCTCCTGACTACTGGTATGCGATAGGAGTTGTTTTGCGATTTGCACAGAAAACTGTATGTAACAACATGATTCATATAGAGGCCTCAATCTCAGCGCTAAGGAGCTGGCCGTTGCTCAGTAAAGAGGACAGCTGAGATATCTTAAGTAAGCGGATTTTGGTCAACCCATGTATGAACAAGTTGTATAGGTAATAACTCGTAGGCTGCCCGTGTCAGGGGTCCGGAGATTAAAGCCCAGATAGGCCGGTAGATGTACGGTTATGATTAGCTCCAACAGGAATGAATTTTGATCTTTAATGATTTCTGAATGTATGCTTGGCCAGGTTCATTTGGCATTAAACGTAAAGGTGCATTGTTGAGGATAACCAACCAAAACCGAGAATAAACTATTAAGAAAGAATAAAATTTGAAATAGTTTGGCATTTTATTTTATTTTTCTGAGAAGATAAAATGAGCACTCAAGGGAGGCTATAATCAACAGTTTGTTGCTGGGAGTTTTACAGTATTTCGGACCTGCAAAGATATCGAGTCAAGCTGTTGTGTGTTTTGCACTGAGGCCAATAGAGAATCGTATACATTGAACTTCTTATCTTATTTTATCTCATCTTCACTTTCTTCTATTGAATAAATAATGAACCAATTTTCAGATGAGGAAACGACCAATACGGTGATTGTTAGATCTGTCCAAGCCAAACGACGGAATCAATTTAGGTACGATTGTTTAATAACGTCCAATGATTGCGGTACTACAGGTTTTATAATTCCAGAAGACGGTGCTGGTCGAGGATAGTCGTTTATTGATGGTCACAGATAGGATATTAGTAATTTAGCATACATAAAACAGAAAATCTCATCAGAAACATACCATCGCAGTTCCTGGTCGCATAACGGGTAAGAACGTATCAATCGACAGTTATTCTCTGAGATACAGCAATTTTCCCACGGTGTTCTTAATTTTTGAGCATTGAAAGTAAATACCAACTATATTACCTACTACTAACGACTGGGTAGTATCTCACAACACAGGTAAATAACGGTTACATTGCAACCACAGATACAAACCTCGATTCGTGGCGTTCTCGTAGATAGTTCACCGAACAGCCAATCAATCAGAGCTGATACGGGCAGCGGCTACTACAGCCAAACCAGCGGACAAAGCGTTTGGTCGCCGAACAAAGCAAACTGGTGAGACGAAGGACTAACAGCGAGTAGTGAGGGTTGACATATGATCGACTGTCACCAGGACTGTCCAATCGCAGTCAGGCCCTGGTTATTTGGGTCCACAAAAAGCAGGGAATGAATTACAAAAGCCAAGCTACGATTAAACGAGACAGATCATGTGCTAGAGAAAGTGCGTGCGTGCGTGTGAGTGTGTGCGTGTATGTGCGTGCTTGTTGAGAGGCCATCAAAAGTTCATATTATCACACATGAACTATCAGTGAGTGCCGAGATGGGGGAGGTGGGATCGAGTAAAGCGGTCAATACGTAAGCGCATGGAATAAGCTCATGTGAATAAAAGCTGCTGTGGATCAGTCTAATCGATAAATGCAGCCCATTGGTGACCGAGAGCAACACAGACTGGGAACGTTGAGAGGAACATGAAAAACAGATTCAACATCCCCACTCCTCGAAGCCTGGACGGCTTTTACCATGACTCCACTCGCAACATGCACCCTCAGAACGATTACATACGAAAATGGTCATATTTACTCTTGCAACGATCACAGAAACCGAATTGGAAGGCACCCTACACACGAGTGGTTACTCTCTTGGTCGTCGGCCCCCTTTAGTTTTCCACTTCTCCCACACTCATCGGATGCGTTCGTAAGCTGGTTCGTCAAAAACACAGCTACTTTCGTGTAGCTCTTGTAGTGTGCATTTTGATAGAAGCAATGGAGCAATACACCCGAGTGGATCATGTAGAGGAGCGGTGCAGTAATCCACATCTCTAATTGATAAATGCGGCCCATCAGCGACCAAGATCAACACAGTCTGGGAACATGGGGAGGAACAGGTAAAACAGATTCAACAGTGATCCTTGCAATCAAAGGCCACTTTGACGTTGAACATTGAGTTCCCTTACAGATGCAATTGATAGATTCGGGAAAACCCAGAGTCAGCTAAATGGTATTCCAATAATAGAAAGAGAGAGTTCAAGGCGATGGTGGTAATGAGGTTGTTGTTGACAATGATGATGACTCGGATGATGACGATGGAGATGATGATGATGATGATGATGATGATGATGATGATGATGTTATTCATGCTGCTGCCGCAGATTATGGTTAATACAGTAGTAGTGTAAGTTACACAACATATATTAACCGTAAAACGCTACCAAGTTTGGCAGTTTAGAATTTTCATTGATATATACAGCCAGTTCTATTGATTTGTTTCGACTAAGTGTCTTCGCGATATAATGTTCATTCGCGCTCAATCTTTTGTGTGCTCCGATAAAGCGAAGTATTCAAACATTAAAAATGCTTTGGGTGTACGCAGGCGTCTAAGCTGATCGTAAGGAATTTTTAAGTCTACTGTTAAAATTTATTAATCAAAGCTGTTAATTTCCTTACCTAGGAAATGATAGATTTTGACACAAAAATCCATGCAAAGTGAACAGGGCTATTTTGTTTTTTGGTAATGTATTATAACTTATGATATTTTGGACAAAGAAAACAATGTGGTGAATGCTCTCAAATGTGGTCAGACGCAAGTTTTGGTATATCGCACCGAATACGTGACGTGGTATGGTAATTTCAGCAGGAACCTATCGAATCAGTACAATGTGTAGTTATCGAACCGCACTCGTTTCCATAGTTTGGGGGCAGAGTTGATTGATTAAACAGATGTGAGAACGACTTCATGCTGGTTACAAGTTTAACCAGTAAACAGCAGTACACATTAGTTACGTTGGTTTTGTGTCCGGGTATGAGATTGAATCCGACCTCATATCAGGTTAGAGAAACAAAAATAAACACATTGTATTGTATTGTATTGTAATAACTTCTTTAGGCATAAAGCCTATATTTCCGTTAAAAATATACACGTTGGAGCGGGAGAGAACATAGAAAGTAATAATAAGAAAGAGTTTTAACTCCCAAAACTGTTAACAAAGTCAGTGAAAAACTGTTCTTTGTTAACTACAATATGTGCTAATGAGGGTACTGTGGATTGATGATGTATGTTTATTCGAGAGGGAACACAACGGTATTGGGATCTAGTTGAGGGATGGGAACAACAAGAAATTAAATCTGCGTGTAGCGGATGTGTGGAGTCGACAAGAATTTTGTGCGCAGACGTTTAACATGCATTCAAAGGACACTGACACAGGTCAGTGACCAACTCCTCCAGCGGGCTTGAAGAGACATGTCTAATGATGGTCAATTCATGTCAAAGCAGGTTAAAATCTTTCTTTAGGAGATTGGGAAAAATAACAGGTGAGTAATAAAGGAAAACGGACAGGACAAACTGATACACGAATTTCTAAATAATTGCTTGTTTAATAGGAAATTGACGCAGTTTACGGATATGAAAAGAAATCAGTCAAAGCTTACTGACGATGTGAACATGGTTGGGCGGTGGTGGTCCAGCGGTAACATCATCAAATTATCACCTCGTGGATATGAGTTCGAATCACACCACCACCGCCTGACTTTCCCCATTGTGTGTTGAATGGCAGCCCTTTGATTGGCCGATTCCCCCTTCCTGAAAATTGTATCTTTGTATATTGAATAAAAGGAAGTAAATGAAAAGAAAAAAGATAACTAAGTCCTCGTTAACTTAGTTCAGATGATCGATTCGTCTGAAACAATTTCGTAAAATCAAAGCCCTAAATGTTAGTGAAAAAGATTCGATGTAAACCTGAGAACTTACTTTTTCGAATGGGTTAACCCAAAAGCAACACATCAAATTGTATTAGCACGTTACATTAAATACCCACTGAGTCGTTAGTGTAAACACGTTTTGACCAACAATTTCAAACGAAACTTTGCCGTCTAAGGTCGGTCATTTTGATGTCGAAATACAATATTCCGACAACCATAAAATGTGAGACATGTACCGTCTCCGCAAAACCATTTCCGATGTTATTGAATTCGGTTATCCTTCGCGTGCTGTCCATGGATAACCATCTTCCGTCATCATACTTGGCGAACCATTTTTCCAATGAGGTATAATGTGTTTGGTAAAACCCCTAGTTTATCAGTTTTACGAAAATAGCTTCAGCTGAAATTTTAGGCGCACAAATAAAACAAACTCCAGCCTTGTAGGAAAAATGTATCGTTACGAAAGTCCTTTTGTGTTGTTTTGGTCTTTTGTGTGAGTATATATCCAGTTATTGATCGAACTCGTCAGGTCTCTTCCACCAACTACCTAGCGTTTTCAGAATCATTCACAGGAAATAAATATGGTCTTACTCCACACCAAACACCAAATATCTTTAATATTATCCTCTTGTATTGTTGCTTCAATTGGTTGAATGCCTTTGACGTGATACTCAAGGTCACGTCAATTCAAACAGTTACGCAAGCGCATTACAAACATTGTTTTAGTAGACGAAGTACGGAATAAATAATCTATCGGTGAGTAAGTACGCCCCTGGAAACTGAATTTAATTACCACATTGAGGATCATGTCGTATAAGTTTGATCAATAGCTGTAAATATGATGCCAAATCGTCCCATGATTATAGCACAGTGGATCTAATGCAGTTGATTAGGCATCCTCATTATAATTTATTTTGTCAAAATTTGAATTTAAAGTTTTGGTACAGCTTATTTTCTAACTTTCGTCAAATAATGTTTACTAAATGTGTGTGCAAAACATGGGCATAATTCTCTGGATTATCCGTTGTCATCAATACGATCAGGAACATACGCAGTCCCGTTAAACATTTCAATTTGAAAAAGAGCACCATTAAAGTTCCTCGCTATCTGATCAAGTGAGTTGCACATTCAAGGTAACCTCTTTGGAGTAATTTTATTCTACTACAAAAACAAACTTCTTTTTACCATCTAAGCTTAATTTAGTGTAGAAAATAATTTGAGTCGATTTCAGAAAGGAATTTGCGCACAAACAGCGCATTATCCAATGAAGGACTGAGTAGAAATGTATTTAAACAGACAAAGCGGTGCCGTTCACATTTTGTTTGTCCCGTAAACCCCGAAATTGCTCTCGTAAACTTTGGCAAATGTAATACTAATCAAATTACCACCAATTTTTGGGAATGAGACAAGCCTGAAAGAATTATTGTGAACGAAAATCTTTAACGTGGTTCACTCTCCAGGTTACAGAAACCAGTGTGCTATATAAAAATTTTGAACAAGAAAGTAACTTTCCTGTTAGAAAACGATATACTTCTTTAAAATAGATAAGTTCTTCCGTTGCACTTTAGATAACATTTTTGACGGTACGCACACACAAATAAATGATTACATGATCCTCTGGTGATCAATCTAAGGAAATGAGATAGCCCGAAAAATTCCGTGTGAATTTAGAACCATCTTGGTTCGCACCGCTGATGAGATCCAAAACTTCAGTTAAAACTTTCTCTGCTCTATATGAGATAAAATAACATATGAAATTCAATTCAATATTCCATTAATCCCACATAAATTGATGCTCATCAACTGACACGTTGTTACCATAAAATTGTCTCGGATGTTTTGACTGATTTTCATAACATATCGAACAGCCTAGCGATGCAGGTTAGAATAACCCATGTTGCACCACATATTTGAGCGGCATAAATAGAACTGAGAGTTACAATAGGTACATTTGTTTTGCAGTCCACCGTTTGAACGAATGGAGTTCATGGAATTCTAAGGCTCTAATGCCAATTTTGTGTCATCAAGATTTATATGCTACAATGGAAGTTGACCATAGATAACTTGCGGTAAGCTGGACGCAAAAGGACATGTTTGACTCTACTGTATAAGATATTGTTTATCTGAAAAACTGGGAACGGGCACTATTGTCGTGACATCGAGTCGCCGCGAACCTGGACGCAATATCGAAGAAACAATGGGGCACGTTGTTGGAAACCAGATGTAATTACCACAATTTATGAAATAACTAATTGCTACCTATCACCATTACATGATTCTGCGATTTGTTCGTTTGTTCCTTGACCAGTCAAACTCTACCAACCATCAGTTTCATCTCTGTACGGGACAGGAGACTTCTTCAACCTAGCTTTACATTTTGTTGAATTTTTAAATGAATGAGTTCAATCATTTTTGAATCAGCTCAGTTCAGCGTGTCCATCTGCAACTGAATTTCCGACATTAAATAAAAGCAAGTCATATTCTCATCCAAATGGTACTTGGAAAAGGAGAAAAATTGCGATGCCGTGCGATTTCACGGTTATTCAGATCAGTAAGTTTTAGCTTCGGATAATTAAATGTAGGGAAATAAAAGTAAATCATTGCCAAAAAAGATAAATAACCGCACAATTACAAAAAGTGGCAATATCGAGTACCCTGATCTGTTCATGACATATGCATACGCTTCTCTGATTTATTTGCTAGATGGGACTGAACAAATCTTTGATTATTGTATAGCCTATCGAGTTACTGCTTTACCACACACTTTGAAATATAATGATGCCGGTAAGCATTACAAAGCTTATTTTGATTTGCTTAGAATAGAAGCCACACTCTTTTGATTTCGAATACTGATGTAGGGTAAATCTGGGTGCCTGATAGGAGCCGGTAGACTTTTGTTTCACTGGAGTATTCTCCACTCATTTAGTCTATATTACATACCGAAATCTCATCTATGGCTACAAGAAAAAAA